ATAATGCTGACTCTGATTACACTCAAACTTTCTAAAAACCTCACTATATTCCCCTTAATAAAAGATTCTAGCATTTGCCTCTGACAGATGTTCAGCTGACGGGCTTGTAATATGCTTCTTAATGTTTCCTTTCTTTCTTGAAAAAAAGAGTTGTATTTGCTAGTTTCCAATTCATGGGTACTTTCTAGGATCTAATAAATATTGGAAAATTAAAACCAACCCGTTTTATAATTTTAAGGGTCACTTTTTTTTAAGTCAATAATGTTAAATTCATCAGAACTTAAAGACATGTCAGCTTTTAATTGTAATAAGCTTCGCAGGATCCCTTCTCTGGCAATTGAAATAGCTTTAAGCTCCTCACTTTCACTTCTTGATTCATAACTGTTTCTGTTTCTGGGATGGCATTGTATCCTTACACTGCAGAAGTTTAAATATCTGTTGTTAACTTCATTCGTAATTTCTTAATTTTCCATCATTAATTCCCCAAACTCAATCTCTAAAGGACTATTGACACATTTCACTTAAGTACTAGTAGAAACTCTTTTTTTTTACTTCTAAATAGTTTTCTCTTGTTTTTTCACTTCTCGTTCCTTATAATTTTCAAAGTCAACCTTTGCTTTTTTAAAATATATTCTACTGAATCTTCTGACTTACCACTACTTTTCATGGAATTGATTGCTTTTGGTAAAAAAAAATTCATTTTTCTAATCGGCTATGGCCCTGCAACCCTCCCAAAAATCTATATTCTCCCAACTCTGGCCTCTTAACATCCATTTCTTAACATAACTGTTCTGCTATTGGTGTCTGTGGCTTCACCTGCCTTGGTTCCAATATGACAGTGTGGAATGCTTGGAACTGCATGGTAAAATAGGGCTGAGTCAGCACGGCTTGGTCAAGAGGAAGTCATGCCTGACAAATCTGTTAGAATTCTTTGAGGAAGTAATGAGCAAGTTAGACAAAGGACAGCCAGTGGACACGATCTATTTGGATTTCCAGAAGGTCTTTGCCAAGGTGCGCATAGGTGGCTGCTAAATAAAATGAGATCCCGTGGTGTTAGGGGCAAGGTACTGGCATGGATACAGGATTGACTGATAGGCGAAAGGCAGAGAATAGGGGATGAAGAAGTCTACTAGTGGAGTTCTAGGGGGTTTCTCATTTGGATCACAACTATTCACATTATACATTGACGATGTGGACGAAGGAACCCAGTGCATTGTTGCTAAGGTTGCAACTGACACAAAGATAGGAGGAGGGACAGGTAGTGTTGAGGAAGTGGGGAGATTGCAGAAGGATTTGGACAGGCTAAAGGGTGGTTAACGAAGTGGCAAATTGAATACAATGTGGGTAAATGTGAGATTATGCACTTTGGTAGGAAGAATAGAGGAGTAGACTATTTTCTAAATGGGGAAAGGCTTCGGAAATATGAAGCACAAAGGGACTTGGGAGTCCTAGTTTGGGATTTTCTTAAAGTTACCATGCAGGTTCAGTTGTCAATTAGAAATGCAAATGCAATGTTAGCATCCATCTCAAGAGGGCTGGATACAAGCGCAGAAATGTACTGAGGATGCTGTATAAGGCCCTGGCTATACCACACTTGGAATATCATGAGCAGTTTTGAGACCCATATCGAAGGAAGGATGGCCTGGCATTGGATGGGGTCCAGAGGAGGTTTACAAGAATGATCCTAGGATGAAGGGCTTGCTACATGAGGAGGTTGAGGTCTCTGGCTCTGTACTCAATGGGAGTTTAGAAGGATGAGAGGGAACTGATTGAAGCTTACAGAATACTGAGAAGCCCAGATAGACAGGATGTGGAGAACATGTTTCCACTCGTAGGAGAAAATAAGACCTTAGGGCACAGGCTCAGAATGATGGGACAATCCTTTAGAACTGACATGAGGAGGAATTTCTTCAGCCAGAGGGTGGTTAATCTGTGGAACTCATTGCTGCCGAGGGCTGTTAAGGCCAAGTCTCCGTGTGTATTTTAAAACAGAAATAGATAGGTTTTTATTTTGTAAGGGGATCAAAGGTGACAGGAAGAAGGCAGGGGAATGGAGTTAAGGAACATATCAGCCATGATTGAAAGGCAGAACAGACCCAAATGACCTAATTCTGCTCCAATATCTTATGTTCTTAAGTTCTAGAATTCCCTCCATAAATCTCTCTGCCTCTCTGTATCTCTTTCTATCTTAGCCTAAGATCTATCACATTAAGTATTTCCCTACCTGAACCAGTATTAATTCTAATTGAATAGTACTCCTGTATAAAAGCCTAGTGTGCTTTTCAATGATAAAGGTAAATAAAAATGGATGTTTGATGACCGGCATTGACATGGTGAATGGGGGCCTCTTTCCACGTGGTAAAACCTCTATGACTCAAATCATTGTTGTGTAGGTAGAAGAAGTGATAAGTTAAAACTGAATTTCACCAGTGCCTCAATGTCCAAAGGGTGACCAGCTGCTGTCAGGGCCAGGGTGGGGGTGGGAAAGCTACCACAGACAAGAGGGGGCTAAGGACTGAAGACTACTGTACTCTAGTAGACGATGTATGTTTATCATGCTTCGATTAGTGTGGTCACAGTGCTGCGGTTGCGGAAGAAGTGTTTTTATAATTTGTGAGAGATATGGGGGCATCACTTCAGGATGACAAGTTCCTCCCAGGACTTCAGTCAACTGCAATATAGAACACTGGTAACTGCTGGTGAATCAAAATAGCAGAGGTAAGAACTGCACTCATTCCAAATTGGGGTCAATGCTTCCATCATTCCTGATGTCTGTGAGCTGCTTACATCATCGAACAGCACTTCTGTAATAACAGAGGTGGCACAGCTGCTTTAGTCTGACTCCCTGTGGAATCCTCGAGGGCACCATCTGAACTGAATAAAATTCACTCTTAATGTCTAGGACCACGATTGCTGGTGAAATCCCGTAAAAGATGCTGGCTAAAATAGTGAGATTATTTCAAAGCATGTTGACGGTGTGAAATGGAATTGGATAGTCAGCAATTAAAGCTCCTGCCTAATTTCCCTTTTCATTGAGCCAGTCGCAACAAACTAGATCTAACAGCTATTTACAGACTGCTGGATGGTGAAAATGATCCTGGCTTCGGTAGTATAAACATTGGATTTAATAATGCACCACCTTCTTTTGGCTCTCCAGTTAGCACAGTTTAGTCCTAGACAGCTTGCAATCCACCACATGCAGAAGGACAGCCTCTTCCAACAGAGAAGCTTCACTAGAAATGAGCTCTTATCTAATTCCAGATGACCAACGTAGGGATGTGCCCAGAAACATAGCAGGAAGCTTGGTTAAAATCAGTCATCAACCCATCAATCTGATGTTACAAGGCAACTTTCATATCAGGCTTTTGCAAACAACTGCAATCAACCAAACTCTATGTAAGGCAGCTTAATGGCTCAGTACTCCAAATCAGCTGATAACAATGCAACCAATTTGTTCTGAGCCACAATACCAGAGGTGTACACCAATCAAATTAAGATATTTTGAACATTTCCTTACACGTGGAACCCACTATAAACAGTTATATTGTACATGGAATTCCCCTCACCTAAACAACATGACATTCAGAACAAGGAACAAAGCTACCTACGAAATTTTACCGAGATATGAAAATATCCATCATCCCAAGAAATTTAACACATGTACCATAGGCAATGTTTCAGTGACGGGACAGCACACCCAACAATTATAATAGCAGCATGAGATCTCAGATCTCCATTACTGTCTCACAATGATTTCAAAGCCAAAAAAATTGGCAGATGTTTTCAGACATTCATAGAATCAACAAATCCCTACAGTGCAGAAAGAAGCCATTTGGTCCATCGAGTCTGTGCTGACCCTCAGAACAGCATCCCACCCAGACCTAGCCCCCTCCCCTATCTCTGTAACCCTGCATTTACCACAGTTAACCCACCTAGCTTACACATCCCTGGACATGTAAGATCATTTAGCACGGTTAGTCCACCTAACATGCACATCTTTGGACTGTGTTGATCATCGAAGCCGCAATGGAACACTGAGCTTTGACACAAATGTTGCATTGCACTGTTTTTGCTAGGTAACATTAAAAGGGAACATTTGTCTAGCATTAACCTCTAGAAATTGTAATTTCCAGGAAGCAGTGTTCTCATTTCCTCCCAGAAAGCTGAACTTTGTGGAGGTTCACTCCTCAGGTGTACCAATACATTTTGTTCTTTGCAATAGATAGAGAATTTTAGAGCAACATTTCCATACCATGATTGTTAAAATGAGAAAGTTCCAGATCCTGTTAGAAAATTCAACATTAACCTGAAAGATCATGATTTGCTAATAAGGTTGGGGGCAGAATTGTACTGAAGAATAGGAATAGTAATTCTGTCCTGTGCTTCAGCGTGTGACGTGTCAAATTTGAAATATCTGGAAGACTTTGCAAGCATTAAATGTTAATTTTCTTCTTTTAAAAAAAGATTTTGAATTAGAAAAGTGCCATGGTGTAACGTGTAGTTGTATTCTTCCTACAAACTGAATATAGGATAGGATAGAATAGCCGGGGTGACGTGGCGGCCCGGAGGTTAGCACTGCTGCCTCACACACCAGGGATCAGGTTCGATTCCGCCCTCGGGCAACTGTCTGTGTGGAGTCTGCATATTCTCCTCGTATCTGCGTGGATTTCTGTGGGGTGCTCCTGTTTCCTCAAACAGTCCAAAGATATGCAGGTTAGGTGGATTGGCCATGCTAAAGTGTCTATAGGGTTACATGGATTGAGTAGTGGGGGTGGGTCATATGCAGTGCTCTTTGGAGGGTTGCTGTGACCTCGATGGGCTGAATGGCCTGCTTCCACACTGGCGGGTTTCTATGATTCTATGACTCAACTTGCACTTATAGGTTGCACTTCCTTTACAAAATGCATTTATAAAATTCTGAATCTTGTGTCTAAATTAAAATTAACAATGTATGTTATGCTGAGAAGTGAAAAAAAACCCAAATGAATGCTGCTACGTACCTGAACTCTGAACTTCCACATTGTGCCAACAGGAGTGCCAGGAATGGGACCATAATGGTTGGAAGGAACTATTGTGCATTCCTTTGTGCGACCAACGCAGGCCATACCCTGAATGACAACATTGATTGATGAAAGGTATATTAATAACCCAACTGATACTTACAGATGACACCACAATTGAATGTGCGTGCACTCTACTGAAATGGACAAATGTACCTACCTTGCCCCAGTCTCTCTGACTTGCAGTGCTGGCAGATGGCATCTTGGCCTTCTTCTTACTTTCTTTCAGTTTTTCCCCTGCTCGCACGACTTCACTTGTATCATTCTTACAGGAGGGGCAATACCTACAAATACACAATTTTCCAGGCTTTAGTGAAATAATCCAAGTTCACAAATCATTTCTAAAACCAGCGATTGAACCCGAACAATGAAATTTGACACAATATAGCAATAGTGCAACTAAATACCGGACAGCATTAATCACCTCAAATTAACTCATGGTACATTAACAACAACTCTTCTAAGGAAGGGTCACCGGACCCAAAACGTTAACTCTGTTTTCTCCTCCACAGGTGCTGCCAGACCTGCTGAGCTTTTCCAGCAACTTTGTTTTTGTTCCTGACTTACAGCATCCGCAGTTCTTTTGGTTTTTAAAATTATTAAATTAAAATTAACATTAAACCTGATCAACATTTAATATCAAAAACAATGGCATTAAAGACGCATAAAATCTTCACAAATAATTTATAAGGCATTGTGCTTTCAGGTTCAATCATAAAGTTCATTCCATTTTCCCAAAGGCTTTAATTTTCTTAAAGCCTTGAAAAATAATAGAGGGGACAGAGAAGTAACTTGTGTTTGACCCACTCCTGGAATTTGTTCGAGCAGTTATGTTTAGGGAAAGGCTGACTTTTCTCAACCAGTTCTCCGGATGGGCTAGTTTAGATTGGGATTTCAATGCAAGTAACATCATTAGCAGCAGGATTAGGCCACTTGGCAAACTACTCCACTGCTCAACAGATGACTGCACTGAATTACAAAGTTCGCAGTGCAGTCAACTCTATTGTACTATATGAAAGCTCAAACTTTAGCAAACTCATGATTGTTGTTTGCAAGCAGACCAAAGAATATACCATCCAACAAGCCTACTAGGAATCAACTGAAGGTTGCCCATCATCTTTCCACAAGGAGAATAGTTTTAAGAGGGACTTCTCTTTACACAGACAGGCTGAAGTTAAAACCAACCTCAAAACTGATGGACTTGAACTGGGGCGGGGGGGCACCACTTGGAAATTGGCAGGTGGCTCAAAAATTGGCCGAGTGTGGATAATGTAGAGGATAACTGTAAGCTCCAAAGTGATGTAGGTGGGTTGGTGGAGCAGGCAGGAGAGTGGCAGATGGAGTGAAAAGTTTACAAATTCACCACTTAGGTACACTTAGCGCCATCTTAGGTACAAAGGTACCTAGGTACAGGATCTTAGGAATAAATTAGAAAAATAAAGAAATAAAAAGTTCAGCATTACAGTCCTTCAAGCAGATCACACTGGGCCTCACCTCCAGTCTGCGCTGAACTCAACTATTCTCGCTGCTGCCGATTGAGGCTGCCTGTTCTCTCCACTGCCGATTGAGGCTGCCTGTTCTCTCCACTGCCAACTGAGGCTGCCTGTTCTCTCCACTGCCGATTGAGGCTGCCTGTTCTCTCCACTGCCAACTGAGGCTGCCTGTTCTCTCCACTGCCGACTGAGGCTGCCTGTTCTCTCCACTGCCAACCAAGGCTGCCTGTTCTCTCCACTGCCAACCAAGGCTGCCTGTTCTCTCCACTGCCGATTGAGGCTGCCTGTTCTCGCTGCTGCCTCGGGCTGCCTGTTCTCTCCACTGCCAACTGAGGCTGCCTGTTCTCTCCACTGCCAACCAAGGCTGCCTGTTCTCTCCACTGCTGATTGAGGCTGCCTGTTCTCTCCACTGCTGATTGAGGCTGCCTGTTCTCTCCATTGCCGATTGAGGCTGCCTGTTCTCGCTGCTGCCTCGGGCTGCCTGTTCTCTCCACTGCCTACTGAAGCTGCCTGTTCTCGCTGTCACAGATGCTGGGGCACCTCGCTCTCTGCCACACTGGGCTAACTCTTCTCCACGCTGATCTCCTCCATGCTACAAACTCACTCTCCATGGAAGCTAAGTAGATTACAGTAAGAAAAAAAGTAAAAGCTGATGGAACAGATGAACTCTGGGCAGGAGCCTGAACACTGTGCTGCTACGCTACTCTGCTGCCATCTTGCAGTCCAACAGGTCAAACAGTAAACGCAAATACAGAATAAATGGGAATATACAGAGAAGGGTAGCTGAAGTGACAGATCTTGGCGTGCAGGCCCAAAAACTAGCTGTGTAGGTAGATAAGTTTGTAAAGAAGGCATATGGAATGCTCTCCCTCATTGGCAAAAGTGTAGAATACAACAGTAGGGTAATAATGATGAGACTGTACAAGACACTGGTGAGGTCACAACTGGAAAATTATGGACAGCTTTGGTCACCACAATAAAGGAAGGATGAATTGCTCTGGAGACAGTGCAAGGGAAGATTTATTGGCATATTGCCAGGGCTGGAGAATTGTAGCCATGGAGGAGAGACTGGAGAGGTCAGGGGTTGTTTTCCTTAGATCAGAGAAGTCTGTGAGGCAACATGAATGAGGTACACAAAATTGACAGTAGACAGGAAGAACCTGTTTTCCTTTGCAGACAATTCAAAAACCAGGGGTCATCAATTCAAACTAAGTGACAGAAGAATGAGAGGGGGCATGAGGAAAAACTTTTCTAAGCAGAGGGTAGTGGGTGTCTGGAATTTGCTGCCCGAGTCGGTGGTGGATGCAGAGACCCTAAACTCTTTCAAAAAGTATCTGGATGCCCCTTTGTCTGCTGTAACATTCTTATGGTTTCTAGGGTCAGTGCTCAGAAAGTGATTTAATGTATTAGTCTGTCAGTCAGCCTCTCTAAGAACCTGTGGGAAAGTGGTCTAAATGCTCCAAGAGTAATTTATTCCATTTACAAATTCACAAGAAGAGTCCATGTTAGAAAAAGCAACGATGAATTCCTTCTTTAAAAAAAAAAAATGCTTTAATAATGGATGCTGCACATATACAAATTGAGAAACGATTAACAGATGATTCTGTTAATCATCTGTTCTCTCCACTGCCAACTGAGGCTGCCCGTTCTCTCCACTGCCAACTGAGGCTGGTCAGAGCAATGAGAGCTAAATTTCAGATAAAATGGTTTGTCAGGCTGGAAACTGAAAGGCAAACAAATATTTTAGTAGATTTAGGAGTAAACAGATGGGAAACAATGTATTAGTAGAAGAACATTAGCAGAGGTAACATGATATAACTAAAGAATGCACAAATAGCTAGGAAAATAAGAAAAAGTCATGCAGGAGACACACACAAGGACAAAGGCAAGAAAATTGAGATTTGGAGAATTAGGAAATCCTACAGTTGTAGTAGGTTAGAGATGAAACACAGGAGGTTACTACAATAACATAGGCAAGAATAAGTTCAGCCAGGACTAGAAGGGTGGGGCCCAGAAATCAACCCGGCAAAGGAATTGGACATTCACTGTGAAAGGGAGACAGATGGTTGGGAAACAACAATTTGAAATTGTTCAATTGGTAGATGACATCATAAGAATTATAGACAGAAATAAGGGAGCAGGAGGTGAGATAAGTAATAGTCAAGTTACATCCACTGGCTCACTGCCTCCTCCAATATGAGAATTTCAGAATCCTTTGTCATCATTTTGTGTATAGTATTATGCTACTCTCTACTTTCGTAAATGTTCTATGTTGCACGTGGCACTATGTGCATTACCCTTTTCCGATACTAGTCGACAATGTACCTCCCTCTTTCTGTATTGTCAGTTGTTTAGCCTTCAGTGTGTATATCCCTGCATTGAGGAATCTCTTTTTTTTAAATTTCCCTCTTCTATTACCATGGCTTACTTCTGCTCTTAATTCTGCTGCATCTTCACCTTCCTGTCTCTCACAGCATGGGAAGTCAAGGTGAAATTCCTCTTCAGACATACACAAGTAAAATTCAGAAGCAGTAATGGCATAAGTGCTACCATTATAGCTGTAACTACAAATCATTTGCAGATTTTATTAGTACAGAAAAAGCCAAAAAAGCTGTTCTTGCTGATAAATCTGCACAATACAACTGGCCAAAACACAGCTTTCACACTCAGTAAATTGTGGTTTTAGTTAAAATCAGAATAAGACCTAAATTGTCACCAGTGATGATGAATGAGCCCCAAAGAATCTCCTGTTTGTCCCTCGCAACATCCCAAAATAAATAAATAAATAAATAACTAAGAAGATTACCAGTCCTCATCATCTGGTATCTTGCTGAGGGGTGGGTTCAGGCAGTATATGTGATAGGCCATATTACACTCATCACACAACAGCTGCATATCCGGATCCTGCTTTCCACCACATAATCGACAGGCGCAAAATCTGCATTCTTTCTCAGGATCCGCCTTGCAGTATTTACATTCAGGGCCGCTCTTCCCTGGAGAGGGGGAGGGGAGAAAAAGGGTATGGGAACAAAAACAATTTCTTGAATATAGCACCATCCACCAGGGTGACTGAATGCTCTGCTTAGTTCTCCCCATGCAGGAGCAGGCACCTACTTTTAAATTGTCCGTCAGCTAGTGTTATCGGATCGGCTCCAGGTCCCTCAATCTTGTATATTTCATCCAAAAATGGTATCTTGCAGTCACCTATCATATCTAGTGGGCCACTGTAAAAGAAAAAAAAGCTATAAGTTTACTGAGGCATTCAAAATTCACTCAGGGCTTTTACAGAAGCCCTTAGATATGTAATAAGGGACATATTTCATGCATGCACGCAATTAATCAGTGCTGCTGTTTTCTCATCTGTAACAATTCCATCACAGTCTGAAGATAGAAGTTAAAGAAAGAAGTTAAAAAGTATTTCTCTTCAAAACTAACAACAAAAATTTCCCATTCACGCAAATGCACTTCAAGCTACTGCCTCTCAATGTAATTTTTTCCTCACAAAATTCAAGAATTTCAAAAAGGTTGCCCTCTGATGTTGCTATTCATAATATTCCCTAATACAGTCAGTGTCTAAGTAGAATAAATAAACTTGTTATGCCAAAGGAGGTAGCCCTTACTCAAGGTTTCCAATGCTTTTTAAATGTGCATAATGTAACATTGAGGCTAGATGAAAATTCTGAATTTACCTGAGTAAATCAATCATGAAGGATATGTTGCGCTATTCTGTAACAGTCTAATAAATCTCTCAAACCATTAATTCAAAAAATGTCAGAGACTGGTTAAGTCTTATATTTTTTTTTAAAAGTGTTGAATAATACTTAGCTAGCTGAAAAGATTCAAAATGCTGTCACCTTGAATGATAATGAGTAGACCATACGAACGTAATAATTAGGTGCAAAAACAGGCCATTTGGTCCCTCGGGCCTGCCCTGGTCATTTAGCAGGAGCATGGGTGATCTGTTGTAACCTCAAATTCCCTTACCTGGCTATCCCAATAGCATTTTAACTCCCATGTTAGTTAAGAATCTATGTACTCTGACTAAATAATATTCAATTACCCCTCTGGCACTGATTCCTGAGGAACAGGATTCCACACAATCATGAGGGAAGGCCTTTATTCTAAAGCTTTATCTCCTGGTTCCACTCTCTCCTACAAGACGAAACATCCTTTCAGCATCTGCCAAGTTAAGTGCCCTTAAGATCATTTATGTTTCAATAAGATCGCCGCTTAGTCTTCTAAACTCCAAATGAATGCTGCAACAAACTGCAACCTTTCCTCCAAACAAAACCCCTCATGTCACAAATCGTTGAATGAACCTTTTCTATTCTACTTCTAATGCAATTATGTTGTTTCTTAATTAAGGAGATCAAATCTGTACACTGTATTCCAGATGTGGCCCTGTACAATTGTAACAATCCATTCCTACTTTTAATTCATTTCCTTTGGAATAAATAATTCCTTTTCCCTTCTTAATCTCTTGCTTCAACTGCATGCTCATCTTTTTGTACTTCATGTATCAGGACACCCAGATTTCTCTGCATCTCAAAGTCCTTAATCTAACATAATATGCTGCTTTTCTGTCCTTCCTGCCAAAGTGGACAAGTTCACATTTTCACCCACAATACACCATCTGACAAATTTTTATCTACCTACTTAACCTATCTAAATCTCTCCTTGTGGAATCAGCAAATTTAGCATCAAGTGGCTTCATCCAAGCCAATGATATATACTATAAATAGTAAAAGCCCCAGCACTGATCCCGGTGGCAATCTATATCTTATCAACCTGAAAATGATCTATTTTTGCCTACATTCAGCTCCCTGTTAGCTAACCTGTTAGCTCTATCCAAGCTAAGGATTCTGGGTAATCCAAGATGGGGGATGGAAAAAAATTGTGGCTGTAAGAGCTGCTCCTTTTTTGAGGTATTTTCAGTGCTGGAGCTTATTCCCTTGAATTCTAGGAGCCGTAATTACAGTTTTATAAGCTGTTGCATTATTTAGGAACTCTGGGAGGAAAGAAAGATCAAAACAACGACACTTTAAAAAGGAGGAAGACAGACAAAGTCCCACATGGGCAGTGAATCAAATGGAGAAATAAACCTGCACTGCTGTCTGACCCAGCAGTGAACCTGCTCAGCTGACTGTTCTGCTGTCTGATTTCAAGTATCGGTAGACGTCGGAGTTTGTCTAAGAAAAGATTAACAAACTGTGAAATTCACAGCTGACCTTGGAGAAACCAGTGTGGGAGTGTTCACAACAGGGGAGCAGCTAAGTGGTTTTTTAAAGTGTAATCTTACTGTTTGTTTTTTGTAAATCTACAGAAGTAAATATGGGATATTGTAGCAATTACAGAGATGTGGCTCAGGAATAGATCTGGCAGCTTAATGTTCCAGGGTATAGATACTATAGGAAGGATAGAAAGAGAGGAAAGAGAGGAGGGGAGTGGCATTTTTGATTAGAGATAACATTATGGCTGTACTTAGGGAGGATACTCCTGGGAATAAATTCAGGGAAATTATTTTGATGGAATTGAGAAATAAGAAACGGGTGATCGCCTTTTGGGATTGTACTATAGAAATTCCAATGGTCAGCGGGAAACTGAGAAACAAACCTGTAAGGAGATCTCAGTTATCTGAAAAAATAATAGGGTGGTTACGGTAGGGGATTTTAACATTCCAAACATAGATGGGGACTGCCAGAGTGTTAAGGGATTGGATGGACAGGAAATACATTCAGTGTGTACAAAAAAATTTTCTGATTCAATATGTGGATGTACCTACTGGAGAAGGTGCAAAACTTGGCCTACTCTTGGGAAATAAGGCAGAGCAGGTGACTGAGGTGTCAGTGGGGAGCACTTTGCAGCCAGTGACCATAAATCTATTAATTTTAAAATAGTGATGGAAACGGAAAGACTGGGTCTAAAAGTTAAAAGTCCTAAATTGGAGGAAGGCCAATTTTGATGGCATTAAGCAAGAACTTTCAAAAGTTGATTGGGGGCGGATGTTTGCAGGTAAAGGAATGACTAGAAAATGGGAAGCCTTCAAAAATGAGATAACCTTAGTCCAGAGACAGTATGTTCCTGTTAGGGTGAAGGGCAAGGCTGGCAGGTGTAGGGAATGCTGGATGACTAGAGCAACTGAGGTTTTGGTCAAGACAAAGAAGCAAGCATACATCAGGGATAGACAGCAGGGATCGAGTGAATCCCTAGAAGAGTATAAAGGCAGTAGGAATATGCTTAAGAAGGGAAATCAGGAGGGCAAAAAGTGAACATGAGGCAGCTTTGGCAAGTAGGATTAAGGAGAATCCAAAGGGATTCTACAAATACATTAAGGACAAAAGGGTAACTAGGGACAGAATAGGGCCCCTTAAAGATCAGCAAGGACGCCTACGTGTGGAACCACAGGAGATGGGGGAGATACTAAACGAATATTTTGCAAAAGTGTTTACTGTGGAGAATGATATGGAAGATATAGAACGTGGGGCAATAAATAGCGATATCTCGAAAAGTGCCCATATTACAGAGGTGGCGGTGCTGGACTGCTTAAAATGCATAAAGGTGGATAAATCCCCAGGACCTGATGATCTAGAACTCCATGGGAAGGTACAGAAGTGATTGCTGGGCCCCCTGCTGAGATATTGGTATCATTGATAGCCACAGGTGAGGTGCCAGAAGACTGGAGGTTGGTTAACGTTGTGCCACTATTAAGTTGTTGCAGGGAATCCTGAGCGGCAGGATTTATATGTATTTGGAAAGGCAAGGACTGATTAGGGATAGTCAACATGGCTATGTGCGTGGAAATCATGACTCACTAATTTAAGAGTTTTTTGAAGTAACAAAGAGGACTGATGAGGGCAGAGCAGTGGACGTGATCTATATGGATTTCAGTAAAGCGTTCGACAAGGTTGCTCATGTTAGACTGGTTAGAAAGGTTGGGTCACGTGGAATACAGGGAGTACTAGGCATTTGGACACAGAACTGGCTCGAACATAAAAGGGTGGTGATAGACCGTTGCTTTTCAGACTGGAAGCCTGTGACCAGCGTGTGCCACAAGGATCGGTGCTGGGTCCTTTGCTTTTCATTATTTATATAAATGAGTTGGATGTGAACGTGGAAGGTACAGTTAGTAAGTTTACTGATGGCACCAAATTCGGAGGTTTGGTGGATAGTGAAGAAAGTTGCCTCAGAGTTCAACGGGATCTTAATCAGATGGGCCAATGGGCTGAGAAGTGGCAGATGGACGTTAATTGAGATAAATGTGAGGTGCTGCATTTTGGAAAGGCAAATCAGGGCAGGACTTATACACTTGATGGTAAGGTCCTGGGGAGTGTTGCTAAACAAAAAAAAACAGCCTTAGAGTGCAGGTTCATAATTCCTTGAAAGTGGAGTCGCTAGTATATGGGATAATGAAGGCGGCGTTTGGTATGCTTGCCTTTATTGGTCAGTGCATTGAGTGTAGGAGTTGCGTGGTCATGTTGTGGCTGTACAGGACATTGGTTAGGACACTTATGGAACACTGTATGCAATTCTGGTCTCCCTGCTATAGTAAGGATGCTGTGAAACTTGAAAGGGTTCAGAAAAGATTTACAAGGATGTTGCCAGGGTTGGTGGGTTTGAGCTATAGGGAGAGGCTGAATAGGCTGGGGCTATTTTCTCTGGAGTGTCGGAGGCTGATGGGGTGACCATATAGAGGTTTATAAAATCATGAGGGGCATGGATAGTGTAAATAGACAAGGTCTTTTCCCCGGGGTGGGGGAGTCCAAAACATAGGTTTAACGTTATAGGGGAAAGATTGAAAAGGGACCTAAGGGGCAACTTTTACATGCAGAGGGTGGTGTATGTATGGTATGAGCTGCCAAAGGAAGTGGTGGAGGCTGGTACAATTACAACATTTAAAAATTGTCCGGATGGGTGTATGAAATAGGAAGGGTTTAGAGGGACATAGGCCAAATGCTGGCAAATGGGACTAGATTTATTTAGGATATCTGGTCAGTATGGACGAGTTGATCCGAAGGGTCTGTTTCCGTGCTGTACATCTCTATGACTCTATAATATGTTACTAACTACACAATGTGTCCTTATTCTGTGTATGAGTAATACAGATTTCAGTGCAGATTAATTTTAATGCTTCAGCACAGTTCCACTGACAATAACAGTTGGAGATCATAATGAAAGCAACCTTTCAAAACTCCTTGACTTGGCTGTCTGCTATTCCCTTTCTTACCTGATTAGAACTCACGTTAACTGCTCACC